CTTTTATCAAAGGAAAATCGTGTCATCATTTTTAGGAGGCGTAAGATAAATCATTTCAAATTTAAAATGAAATTCAATGTAAAATCTGAAATACCGCTGCATACGCACTGTGTTCTGGTAGTAGCTGTAGTCGCCCAGGTGCATCGAGTGTACGAACTGGTCGGTTATACGTCAAATACTAACCTGGCGAGCTTTGCCGTCAATTAGAGAGCGCTTCCAAAAAACAAGTAAACAACAGTGGCGCGTACAGAGGTAAAATGTAGTACATATGTGGAATTTAGGAAACAAATTGGATTTATAATAAATTACATTTAAAATAAATAGTTTATGAGAATAAAGGAATTTTTGTAGCAACAAGGGTGCCAGACCTGAACTGATCCCCTCGTCCCTTCATAATGTATAAAGAAATTATTCAATTTGTAAAATCCTTAAAGGCGTACTTCATTGGTTCCCTTGACAGGCAATGATTTATTACTTTGCATCGAATATGATCGTACTATAGATTTTTGCATGATCTACAACTTTTGTATTTCCACTTATAAAAGTCCAGGTAACAATTTTTTTTTCTCCAAGTGTAATTCGGTTGGACTAATATTGTTATTTGAACGCAAAATTTGAAACTGGGGAAAAGTTTCACAGAAACATTTCAACTTTTGAAACAAGCTTACGAAGATAATACTCCGGGTCGTACGAATGGTTTTCACGATTTAAAAGTGATCGTCAATCAACTGAAGATGATCTTCGACCAAGAAGGTCTTCGACTTCTACTGATGACTCTGAGAAAAATTCAACTCCATGTTTCGGTATGTAGATTGCGACCCCGAGCGGCCGAGCTACTAACGTGAAAAACTATTTCCAGCGATTTCTCTTGTTCGATTCATTGATCAAAATTATTTCCCGAAGTTCTAGGGCCTATGCCTACTTCCCTAATATCGTACCTCGCCGACCTTAGTGGGACACCTTGTATATATTTTTTATTCATATGTAATTTAAAAATAATTTCTAATAGGTAGTTCATGGTTAAAGAAAATGAAACAACTGTAGAAAATGAAGCAGATTTAAGACAATGAATCATAAATGCCAGCAAAATGAAAATACAGGGTAGCCCATCGAAAACGTACCTCAAGGCATTACAGGGTAGTAATGAACTTTTCGGCAAAATCCAAAAAACAGGTAAAGTTTGCTTCTGAGGGGGACAACTTTTGGCGCAAAAAGCATACCAAAATCTTGAACCCCCTAAGTGGGGGTGCTATCCCTTAAATTTTTGCAAATGGGAATGGGGGTCAAGTGGGGGGTCATTAGAAAGGGCTTTTAATTCTCTATACATCGATTCTTACTTTTTGAAAATCGATCCATTATTTTAGAAAATATGCAGCTTTGAAAATACGAACAATATTTTTGACGAGAAATGCGAAAATCGATTTAATTTTACTTCAAAACTTACGGTATTAGCTTGGTAAATTCCTTCAAAAGAATTCGCTGTTTTTTTTTTCTGATTTGCGAATTCTTTAGCCTGATTTTGGTGAGCAAAAAATTGTCCGCTTTTTGTTTCGTATTTAGATAGGCCACAAGAAGTTGCTAGATAACTGTCTTGTGACTTGTAGTTGAAGAGTACCAATACTGCCGAGTCTTTTAAATTGATTAATTATGGTGTACTCAATTCCAGAAAGAGTAGAAATTATTGAGCTTTTTTTCAAAAACAATGAATGCGGAAATCGGGTCGCCGAACTGTTCAACCAACGGCATCCTGAGAAACATGCGTCTGGAAAAATTGTTCGCGAATTGGTGGCCAAATTTCGCGAAACTGGCTCCGTTCATAACAAAAAGAGGCAGGTTGAAAATCCGGTACTAAATGAACCTACGGAAATAGCGGTATTGGGGCAAGTGGCAATGGATAGTACGCTGAGTACAATGCAATTGGCTACTGCGACAGGAGTGAGTCGTACAAGTGTCCAACGAATATTAAAAAAATACAAATTCCATCCTTATAAGATTCGGCTAGTGCAAGAGCTAAATGAAGACGATTTTGATCGTCGTTTGCAATTTTGCGAAATAATGACTGAACGAGCGATAAACGATAATTTCCTCTTTAATGTGTGTTTTTCGGACGAGTGTACGTTCTTCTTGAATGGTTTAGTGAATCGCCATAATTGTCGTTACTGGGCTGATACCAATCCAAGGATTTTCCATGAGACACACTCCCAACACCCCCAGAAGTTGAATGTATGGGCAGGTATTTTTGGAAATTCCATTGTAGGTCCTTTTTTCCTTCCTGGAAATTTGACAGGCGATATGTACTTGGATTTACTACAAAATGTCATCGACCCAGCTCTAACAAATATCATAGAGGACGACCCTGCTTACAATGAACACGAACTGATTTTCCAGCAAGACGGAGCTCCTCCACATTACTCGCTCAATGTGCGCAATTACCTAAATGAGACGTTTCCAGGACGCTGGATAGGACGAAGAGGTGCAATTGAGTGGCCCCCTCGGTCACCCGACTTAAATCCTTTAGATTTCTTTCTCTGGGGGCACATTAAAAGCAAAGTTTACAGCACTCCACCTGATACCTTGGAAGATCTGCGAGGACGAATCATTAATGTATGTCGCGAAGTAACACCGCAAGTGCTCCAGAATGTTCGACAACGGTTTGAAGACAACCTGTATCATTGTATGCAAGTTGGCGGACAACATTTTCAGCATTTACTTGACTAATACCGTAAGTTTTGAAGTAAAATTAAATCGATTTTCGCATTTCTCGTCAAAAATATTGTTCGTATTTTCAAAGCTGCATATTTTCTAAAATAATGAATCGATTTTCAAAAAGTAAGAATCGATGTATAGAGAATTAAAAGCCCTTTCTAATGACCCCCCACTTGACCCCCATTCCCATTTGAAAAAATTTAGGGGATAGCACCCCCACTTAGGGGGTTGAAGATTTTGGTATGCTTTTTGAGCCAAAAGTTGTCCCCCTCAGAAACAAATTTGACCTGTTTTTGGATTTTGCCGAAAAGTTCTTTACTACCCTGTAATGCCTTGCGGTACGTTTTCGATGGGCTACCCTGTATAATTTCATAAATTGCTGCATTTATGGTTCGTTGTCTTAAACCTGCTTCATTTTCTACTGGTGTTTAATTTTTTTTAACCATGAAATACCTATTAGAACGTATTTTAAAATTAAATACAAATAAAAAAAATCATGACTCCATAATGTTTTATTATGTGAAGAAAATGCAAGAGACCTATATACCGAATTATTACTATCAATTAGTTACATTATTTCTCCAAGTTTCGTCAATCTACGTCAAACAACTTCAAAGATAATTGAAAAAAATGTGATATTTTTTAAAAACTTTCTTATTGGAAACCAGGAATTCTAGGGCCCTGATTTATTAAGGTCTAAAATGACACAAGGAATCGCCCTCTTAATTTATGACAGACTTAGAAATTAGGAAATATCATCTGCGTTCTGTTTTCTTCAAAGAAAATTTACTAAGTTTCCCCGAAAATCCCGCGAGATAAATTAGAACCGTTTCGTATATTCTCCATCCACGAAGATTCTGTCACACTTCAGCACATTTCAATACGAGCAAAACAAAAGTGGGTTTTCGGTATGGGTTACGTAACGATCTATTTTATTTTTATGCGTATTGTGAATGTGGTACCAAACCTGTTTTAAATACAACAACAAAAGAAATGAACGGCTAGTTTTTCCATCGAAACGAGTTTGCGTTTTTGGCGATTCATCACAACAATAAAAGGCAGATGATACAGCAACTGGGCGAGAAATCCCGAAACAGATATCGAAAACTGACCAATTTACTATGCAAAAAAATTAATCGTAGCATCATTACGAGATAAACAAGAACCGCCTTGAGGGGGCAGACAGTATTTCCGTTTCCACTCCCCCCTCCACCACCCACAGCATCGCGCTTAAGTTTATAAAGGTTCGTATAACACTGCCGTTTCGTCAAAATGGGACTATGACCCTCGCGTCTGTATAGTGAAGTGTGCGGGCAAAAATAGTACTTTTACTTTCACTTGTTATTGTTTTTCACTTGTTCCGACGGACATGGAGTGCCTCAGTAAACAAGGAAATCAAGTCGGCGGTAAGAGATTCCATTTTTCTTATTCAAACACTCTTAGTAGGCGCGATTTGTACCATAAATTTGACAATAGAACAAATTTAGGAACCACGACCCTTGAAATAGATTAATTAATTTTGAAAAATGTAGTGGAGACAAAGGACTGTTTGGTTGACAGTGAAGTGGCAGTTGTAGGATTTCCTATTTTGGCGTTAAAAAAAACAGAAGAACGCAAGTCACGCTTCTTTGTTTGGAGCTTCCAAGGCAAGCAAGATCTTTTGTTAAGGGCAGATGCCAGAAGATTTAATAAATAAATGAGTTCGTTTATAGACCGGGTTTTTACTGTACCGGGTGTTCAAATTTGTCGGTTTTCAAGGGGTACTGCGAATCTGTCATAGATAGAGCAAATCTAATAGACTCTTTTTTCGAGAAATTAATAATTTTGCAAACTGCATCTCTTTATCTGTTACCGTTTTCGAGCTACAGGGCGTTTCTCGATTTTTGGCTAAGCCGACTCGTGCCCTTTTCTCGTTTCCCTTTCAAGATATTTTAAAACGGTTTGAACATTCTACAGGCATTTTTTTGAGATATATTCGATTGCATAAAAATAAAAATATGATAATATTTTTAGTTCATGTAATATGACCACAACTGTCTTTTTATATGGAACATCCTGTATTTTATTTCAAAAACGGAAAGAAATGCATTCCAAAAATATATACTTTACTTATTAGTTTTTGTGTAGATTTATGGAAAATATAAAATTTACAAAATATCAACGATATTCGAGTTTTCTGTCTGAGAAGGCTTTGAAAACAAACGAGTTTGACATTATAATTTTGGAAAAAAACTAAACTGCAAATTGATCAATGTAATCTAATTGTTTAAAAATAAAAAAAAAGAGTGTTAACTTTAAAAATTTACTGTGGCCATTCTAATCAACGGATTTCAATTTTTCAAAAACCATTTGGAAGGTTGAGCGGTCTTTTCTATGTGAAAAAATTTTCAAGTATCTAGATGCTTTATTTGAGGCTGTGAAACATTTTGAATATTCGTAAATTGTTTTTCAAAATTTTTTTCAAATAATTATTTTGCGAAAACTATAGAACCGATTTTAATGAAAGTTGGTGTGTTGTTTTATTATACTCTAAAGTTTTTTTATCAAAATTAGAATGCCCTCGGAGCAATTAAAATATTTAAAAAAAATTATACAAAAAAACTTGATTATTTTGCCTTTTTTCATCAATTATTGCTATTTTGCAACATCGGTAATAATTTTAAACAGTATTAACTTGCAGTATATTGTGCAAAATTCAATTTTAAAACTTTTTTCCTCTTCAATATTCTTTCAAAATGCATAGGTTCCAAGATATAAGTAAAAAACTCGGATAAAATAGGTATTTCTTAAATTTTTTAAACATTTTTGCAATTTTGAAAATGTTCCGGACCTCGCCCAGATCTAGGGATCTACACTTTTATTATGTGACATGTACTGAAGGTACATAACAACAATCTCGAAATTCTAAGCATGGCTTTGTAAAACTGAAACAATCAATTATTGTTTAGGAATGACTTGACGTGATTTTGAATTGTGAAACAGTCAATTGTCCATTTTAAACATCAAATTTTTCATTGCCTTGATTATTCTGCTTTTAAAATATCAAATGTTTGACATATTAGCATTATATACGGGATGTTCTGGAAAAATATCGTTAAACGTCTTAGAAATTTATTTTCCTGTGGACCATTAACTTGTCGCCTTTTAATTTTGAGATAAAGGTCGTTAAACAATTTTTTTTAAATCAAATTTCAATCATATCTTCACCAAACGCAGCGTAATTTATTCAAATTTAATACATGCAAGTCATTTTTGCGGTTAGGTTCTATTTATACAAAATTAAGTACTACATTGTAATAAATCATATACGGGGCATCTCTAAAGGGCCTGTACCAAAATAAGTCGATTTAACTAATTCTTGGGACTTAGTCCAAAAATTGATATTAACGGAGCTACACGGTGTCAAAGTTGAAAAAGTAAATAACATTTTCCTTAAAATCTTTCGACTACTTCGAACTGATTTCGTGAAATTTCGTATGAGGGTTTTTTTGTGAACGAGAAATTTAAATTTATCAACGATTTCGTTCTACCTTGCTAAAAGGCATTTAAATTTGTAAATGCCTAAAAAAATTTGTTTAAAAGTTATTTTTAACTCCACTGATAACCGAAATCAGAAGCAGCAGAAGTTTATTAGCAAGAAACATGCCTTTGAAGGAAACAATGCAATTATTACAATTTTAAATTTCAGTTATTTAACAATTCTACTGCAAACAGAATTGACACAGTAAAAAACATACTTTCTAAAAACAATCTATCGATCTAGCGCAATCTAAACAATGTAATCAATGAAAACGATCTAAAAATCTAAAAAATAACTAATTATTATTGACTTGTCTTAAAAGATAACATCAGTGTAGTTGAAAGTAGCTTTTCAACAAATTTTTTATGCATTTACAAATTTAAATGCCTTTTTGTTGAAAACTGTTGGCTTTAGAGACACTAGCAAACCTTTTTTAAGCAGAAAAGTTGGGGGGAAAAATTTTTTCTAGCCCAAAGTGAAATACACGGTGGCACAAAAAAAGTTTTGTCAGTTTAAATGCGTCCTAATGGTGGCTTGTGGTGCCATCTAGAAGATACAACAAAACCGACAATAAATTCGAATTTTTCATCCCAAAAAACCCCCGGATACGAAAATTCACGAAATCAGGTCGAAGTAGTGGAAATATATTGAAGAAAATGTTATTTATTTTTTCAACTTTGACACCCCGTAGTTCCGTTATTATCAATTTTTGAACTAAGGTAAGTTTAGTTAAATCGACTTATTTTGAGCCGTACTATGGAGCTACAGAGACACTCTGTATACTTAGAAAACTTACCCTCAAGAAAATTGTCAAAAATCTCTCTTCGTAAACTAAATCGTAACTAGTGACCTCTGAAATGTGGTAAAAAACTAACAATACTAACGGATTAGAACCCTCGAAAACTTACTTTATTGCCAAATTTCAACACATTATGTTGTTTTTGGAGAAGGTATGACTAAAATTCGATTTAAAAAAATTATTGCTTTGACGCCCTATATCTCAAAACAAAGAGATGCCTTTAGGCTACTTTCGCTATAGTTCATAGAAAAAATTATTTAGAGAATTGGCAAATCTGTTTATAACCTCAAATAATGTCCTAATACAAATTTCAAAATCAAAATTTAATTCTGACTTACTCTATATGTATAGCAACTTCCCACCTCAAAAATTCAAATTTCGATTTTAAAATTTGTATTAGAACATTATTTGAGGTTATAAACAGATTTGTTTTATAAAAATGTTGTGTAAAATAATAAATAATGGTACTTCTCTTGAGTATTTTCGTGTTTTTTTAATTTATGGGCACCCTGTATATCTGAGATGTTTGTATGACATTCTCATTTTTTCGAGGGGCAGAACTTTTTATAAAGAGTGACATTTTTCGATAAAGTCAAAAACAAAAGAGTTTCTCCTCTTGTCAACTCCATCCGTGGACACACTGTATGTACATTATTAATAAACTTTATTGTACTTAAATTATCAAGGTTTTACTAAATTATTTTATTTAAAAAGTAAAATAATCAAAAAATCTCATTTTTTGCTTTCTTTAAAATTGTTTATTAACGATTTTTTGTATAAAATTTTCCTTTTACATTTTTTAAATAAGCCATTTCGATGAGAAATTCAATTTTCTACAAAATTTTTCCTATAAAGTATACCGAAATTTTGCTTAATTTTCGTGCTATATTTAAAAACCTGCAAAAGTGCATTTTCACCCCTATCTTCAATTTCAATTCAACCCTCGGTTTTTTAATTTTTAATGACCCTTCGAACAAGTCATGTGATGAAAATCCTTGAACGTCTTATTTCCTTCTTTTTTTGCAAAAAATGAGAATTAAAACGTATAAAGACAAAACGCGACGAAAATCGAAAAATTGGCTAAATTTGAGCGGCCATATATCAATCAATTTTCATCCAAAAATACTTTACAACCTCGTTTTGAAGGAAATTTTATCTACTTTTTTCTATGAAGCAATGCCTATACCTGTCTTTACTCAAAACAAAACTAGAAGCAAAAAAGTAAAAATCAGAAAATCGAATTTTTTGTTTTTTTTTTCAAATTTTTTATTAAATATTTTTTTTGCATAAAATTTGCCTTTTAAATTTTTTAAATAATTTATTTAGATGGGAAATTCAATTCTCTAAATAATTTTTTCTATGAATTATAGCGAAATTTTGCTTCGTTTTCGAGCTACAATTAAAAAACCGAAAGGGGTGCATTTTCACCCCTACCTCCAATTTCCACCCTCTAATTTAATAGCACTCCGCGGGTTTTTCATCTAAAATGACCATTTGAACGATTCATGTAATAAAATATCTTCAACGTCTTTTAAAATCCATATTCAATAGCCTACTAGCTCCATAGAGAAATATCGTCTTATTTTTTTATGTTTTATCAATATACAACACTTATACCACTTTATTTGTACAAAACAGTGTTTTATTTGCTACAAAAATCGTTTTTTTTCTATCACATCTTTTTAAATTGACGCTCAATTGTTTTTTTATCCATGTTATGACTTCACAATAGCAATAAATAACATAAAAAAAGTACCCTTTTTCCATATTGCTCCAAGTACAACAAGGATGTTATACCTCTTTAAAGTCACATCTTTTGTGATATCTTTAAATTGTTTCGAGATATTCTGTTCACGTTTTAAACTTAACGCATCTGGACACTAATTTCTGCCGATTGTCACTATTTTACTTTTATTCCATTTTTTTAACAATTCCAAGGCTATGAAAGAAAAAAGTACCACCCTGTATACACGCACAATTAAGAAATACTCAGGTGTGTCTCTTGCTAGGTAATTTCCCAACGGTTTTTTATTCAAGGATTATAGAGCTCCATTATACTGGGAATTTCATTGTCGAAAAAAAAATTGTGCAGTGTGTGGCGGAAACAGATTTTCGGGATTTTTGTTTTCGTTCGAGGTGCACGAACTTTGTCTGCACTTAAGCGGAAAACTATTATTTAGCAATTAAGTAAACGTAAACGACTACGGACGAGATTAACTTTCAAATCGTGCACTAATTTCGATGACAAATGATATTCTTTCGTAACTATGCCTGGAATGTGAGGCGCATTGCATTTAACTCTTGTTAGTTTAAAAAATATCGACATTTGCGCAGGTCTCCCCTATTCAGAAGAGGATGGGGGGGAGATGGGGTCGATTATAGCCGAGTGGTATGCTGACCAGCACGTTTTCGTGACGGGGGCAACCGGTTTCATGGGCAAAATCCTTGTGGAGAAGATACTGAGGTCCTGCCCGAAAATTAACGCCCTGTACATACTAGTTCGACCCAAGAAGGGCAAAGAACCGAAGCAGAGGCTGGAGGAGTTCCTGACCAGCCCTGTAAGTGCATTTCCTAGCGATTATTACACCAGGAAAATTGGCGAAAATAAAAGAGAAACTCGAAAAAAGTCCTATCCGCGAGATTATTGTAAAATTGTCTAAAGAACATAATACAAGACATCTCTCATCTCGTGAGTCAAAAAATTTTATTAGCTAACTTTTCTATTTAAACAAATAAGTGAGGAAGACAGTTTTTTCACCATCAATTTTAGCGAAAAGTGACTCACAGACAGCTTACAGGGAGTAAAATGATCTACAAAATGAGACTTGTTAAATTAAAATCGGTTAATAAATAAAAAAGTTATTGCAAGAAAATAAAAAACGTGCCCATTTCTTAATTTGTTTATAACTATCGCATTTATTGTTAAAATTTTATAAGGCCTATGACAAGTTGAGGGTTTTGTCATACTTTAAAAGTGTGCCAAAAGTGGGCGCTGTAGGTGCGATAGTTTTCGCACAATCCAATTTGTTTATTACGGAGGCTCCAAAAGTTATGAACTTTAAGCCTCTGTACAGACGTTAATTTTCAACCAAACATGATTCTGAAAGCGTCATTGTAATCTTAAAGACGTAATTAATCGACCTATTAAAAAATATCACCGTTTTTTTTACATTAACACTTTCAAATCGTGCATTAAAAAACCGTGCGTTTTTCGCTAATAAACAATTTGAATTAAATTGTTGCTATTTATGCTACCCCACCGAAAATAGATTCAATGGATAGCTGGCAAAAAATATAAATTTAAAAAAAGCACCCTCTCCGACCAACAGGAGCCAAGATAAGAATTAAAAAAAAAATCGTAACGCAATTGTTTATAAACTATAGATTTGAATTTTTCGCAAAATAAAATTTACGACGTAAACTACGATTTCCCGTGAATTACATTGAAAAATGTGAAAAATTAACGACTTACGAGCCCTTTAAAGAGAAGCTCGTCCAAGCGAGTCGCGCGCGTGAGTGAAGTTCAAATTGATGCGCGCTGTAAAATTTTGCAATATCTTTTGCTTCTATTCATCGTAGAAACTTCTTTTTTAAAGTGGGGTAGCTGGACGAAAAAATAACAATGGGCATATTTACGAATTTGTAGAATAGCCCTGAACCCCAGAAAAAATGCATCTTTTATACTTAATTTTTTTTAATTTACAAATATGTTACAAAAATTATTGTTAATCGAAATATTAATTAAAATTTTCAATTTCGGAATTATTTTACTATTATTAAATAACTAAATGAAACTATCGTTCATTTAAAAAGTTATTTTTTTATATAATAAGCCAAAGTAAACTCTTTTTTTCAATATTTTGTTATTTATTTAATTATGATTTAAATGTAAAATTAAAGTAAAAATTCACAAATTGTTTTCAAATTATTATTTATTGTTAAAAGATTCAAAAAAGAATAAAAAGTATTTGAATTTATTGCAAAATTCTCAAAATTAAAAAATATTAATAAAAATAATGCGGTCGATAAAATTACAATTTTAACTTCTTGAAATTTTAATATATAAAGTTTTTTTTATTATATTTATTACTAATTTAATAAACAATCAAAATTAATTCAAAAAATATTAATCACAACCATTTTCAATAATAGATATAATGCAATATAATACAACAATTTAAAATTTAAAATTTTTTCTATTTTTATGAAAAATAACTTTTTAAATGAACGATAGCTTCATTTATTTATTTAATAATAGTAAAATAATTCCGAAATTGAAATTTTAATTAATATTTCGTTTAACAATAATTTTTGTGACATTTTTGTAAATTAAAAAAAATTAAGTATAAAAGATGCATTTTTTCTGGGGTTCAGGGCTATTCTACGAATTCGTAAATATTCCCTTTGTTATTTTTTCGTCGAGCTACCCCACTTTAAAAAAAAAGAAGTTTCTACGATGAGTAGAAGCCGAGATAATGCAAAATTTTACAGCGCGCATCAGAGCTTCCCCCACCACCACGCCGCCTGCCGCCGGACAGTTTACTTAGCGAGTACCATCTCTCTAAAGGGCTCGTGAGTCGTTAATTTTCCACATTTTTCAATGCAATTCACGGGAAATCGTAGTTTACGTCGTAAACTTTATTTTGCGAAAAATTCAAGTCTTAATGTTTATAAACAATTGCGCTACGATTTAAAAAAAAATCTTTTCTTGGCTCCTGTTGGTCGGAGAGGGTGCTTTAAAAAAAAATGTATTTTTTTGCCAGCTATCCATTGAATCTATTTTCGATCAGGTACTATAAATAGCGACAGTTTTATTCAAATTGTTTATAAGCGAAAAACGCACGGTTTTTTAATGCACAATTTGAGAATGTTAATGTCAAAAAAACGGTGATATTTTTTAATAGGTCGCTTAATTGCGTCTTTAAGATTACAATGACGCTTTCAGAATCATGTTTGATTGAAAATTAACGTTTGTACAGAGGCTTAAAGTTCATAACTTTTGGAGCCTCCGCTATAAACAAATAGAATTGTGCGAAAACTATTGCACCTACAGCGCCCACTTTTGGCACACTTTTAAAGTATGACAAAACCCTCAACTTGTCATAGGTTTTATAAAATTTTAACAATAAATGCGATAGTTATAAACAAATTAAAAAATGGGCACTTTTCTTGTTTTTTTGCAATAACTTTTTTGTTTATTAACCGATTTTAATTTAACAAGTCTCATTTTGTAGATAATTTTACTCCCTATAAGCTGTCTGAGAGTCACTTTTCGCTAAAATTGATGGTTTTCCCTGCAAAGTGAAAAAACTGTTTTCCTCACTTATTTGTTTAAATAGAAAAGTTAGCTAATAAAAGTTTTTGACTCACGAGACGAGAGATGTCTTGTATTATGTTCCTTTAGACAATTTTACAATAATCTCGCGGATAAGACTTTTTTCGAGTAAAAATTTTATTTGCTTGGCCTATACATATACAGGGTGTCCAGAAATTAGTCTGCGATTTTAAAATTTCACTACTTTATATCAATTGTTTTTTCGGCATATGTCTACGTAAACTTTTACCCTCACGTTCAATGGTAGAATCCGCTGCAGGCTAATCTCAGGACACCCAGTATACCGACCGCCCTCACGGCAATCTTATAATTCCCCTTAGGTGTTCGACAGAATAAGAAAACTACCCGCAGGTGCCGAGATTTTCAAGAAACTACGCAGCGTGGGTGGCGACGCCACCCAGAAGAACTGCGGGTTGTCTCTAGAAGACCAGAGCCTCTTAAGAGACAACGTTTCGACCGTCTTCCACATGGCGGCCAACGTACGTTTCGACCAGACACTGAAGAACGCCGTCCTCTTCAACGTGGGTGGTACCCTCAACGTGCTAGAGATGGCGTGCGGTTTTCACAAATTGAAAGCTTTCGTGCACGTCTCCACGACCTACTGCCATTGCGATGAAATCGAATTGAAGGAAAAACTGTACAAAGCCCCACAGGAACCCAGGTACGTAAAAAAATTGAAGACACAGCGAATGTTAAGAACAGAAATTGAAACAAACTTCATCTAAAACAAAAAAAATTAAACCACGAATGATACGCACGAAGTGGAAATTGTTACATGTTGTGAAGTACGGTTAAGAAAGAGGTTAAACGAAAATTCAGTAGAGAATTTGAGAAAACAAACTTACGTGTTTTTAAAAGTAAAAAAAAACCTTGTCAGATGAAGTCAAACACTGTTCTATACTCCTTCTGAGGCAGAGAGCGATATATCTCTCGAAACGTCAAGAAGCCTAAACCGACGACGTGGCAACCAACCCAGAAATTGTTTTACTAAGCTATTTTTACATTATATTAAATTTAAAATAAAAGTTTGCTTATTTTTTACAATTACTGTCTGCTTTAAGTAAGATAGTTAAAAATCGCGTCTTCTTATTTGCAAAATGTGATTATTCTCCTTTTTTGACTAAACCCCGTATGTAAGCATTTCTTGGGTTCTCGAAGAACTTTATTAAGGAGGTATGTCGGGGTCCGAGGGAAGTGAGGAGCGCAGGGAGGGGGTCCCATGCTTTTCTTATGGGACTAAAGCCCGCTGCCAATTTGAAAAAATTAAATTCTATTGAAATTATTTGCGATAAACCAAAATTAAGT